TGGCTCCTGGTGCGGGGCAGAGGCTCCTGCCTGCCTTTCCTGAAGAGCTGACAGTGGTTTCATGCGGCCCATGGTCTGCCCTGCAAATGCTGTCAGGATTTTCCATCCCGAGCGAAGGAGAAAGCGGAAATATTGACTGCGGGCAGCTCCGCTCCCCTCCGCTTGAACCTTTTTGGTTGTTCGGATCGTGCCTGAAGGAGAGCTTTTTGGTCCAACTGCAAAGAAGAGATGCTCTGGAAGAGGAGGGAGTGGAGGGAGGAGGCGTTCTGCCTTTCCCTGTGGAGGAGGTGGAGGAGAAGGACATTTTGGCGATTATTCACGGCTGCCGGCAGGCTGGGAAGAGGAACTGGGAATATAAATAGCTGGATGGCGTGGCGCGATGGGCACAAAGCAAGTGTTGTCACCGTGCCCCGAATAAGGGAAGAGCTCGAGGAGGAGAGAAACCGCTGGGCGAAGTAGATTGCCTGCGGCTGAGCCCGGGGCAAGACGAGCTCTGCGCGGAGGCTCGGCCTCCTGAGATAAACTCTCAATATTGGGGGAAATGTTTATTTGGGAGGATGGCGCAGCGTTTGCTGGGGGCTGCATCATCCAACTGTCCTCTAGCCCTTCGGCTCTGCCGTCCCCAGCCTGGCGGGACCCCACTGCGCCAGTCCCGGGTGCGGGCAGAGGGAGATGTTTTGGGGTGGGTTTTTTTTGCAGGAGGATGGGGGGGGTTTTTTCGGTCTCCTTGTCAGCAGGGTCACCGGATAACTTTGCTCTGCTTCGTTTTCAGGCTGCTAGCAAGTACAACTCTCAGTACCACAAGCTGTTCAAGGACATCCCAACAGAGGAGAGCGTGCTGAAAGGTGGGTGGCATGGCGAGGGACGGGCACGGGGGCGGCAGGGGCTGGCACGCCATCCGCCATGCCTCCCCCACCTCTCTCTGCCTTGTAGTTTGCTCCTGCGCCCTCCAGAGAGACATCCTCATCCAGGGAAGGCTTTACATCTCCCCCAACTGGCTCTGCTTCTACGCAAACCTCTTTGGGAAGGACATCAAGGTAACGGGGGGGTCAGCTCGCCGCGCTCCCGTAGTGCTGGCAGCCCAG